TGCTTTGTCAACAATGACCCAGCACTGAGCCTGACCCAGGGTAAGAGCCAGACAGATACTGCCCAAATTATAAATGCAGGAACAGGTTCAAAGTGTTAGGAGGGGGTGTAGCTCAGGGTAGCCATACCTTAACACGTTCACATCCTTGGGTTTCAGCTCTAGCGTCATAGCTTTTTTTTTTTTTTAATAAAGAGGCCAAGTGTTCTGTCATTTCTGGAACTTACAGCTAAGTGGTATCATGGGGAGGGTAGACATTTAAATGATCACAAAAATAATTAACTATAACTACTAATAATTACAATTAGAACAATATTTACAGGGAGTAATGAGTAGTTCCCCAAAGAAGATTTCATGACTAAGCTGATATCTGAAGGAAAAACGAAAGTTAATTGTCATAGCTAACATGTACTGATTACTTACTAAGTCCCAAGCACTGATCTAAACACACATATTTAGTCTCAGAGCACTTTATGGCAGAGGTACCCTTATTATTACCACGAGGGGCAATCTTCCTGAGGTACAGGAAGTATAAGGAAACTGCTCTTAACTCAGCTAGTAAGTAGCAGGGTCAGAATTCAAACCTGACCCTAAGCAGTCTAATTCCAGTTTGTGCTTCTGACCACTATGCTGTGCTGGCTCCCACAAGTTAACCAAGCAGACACAGAAGAGGAATGGGGACCAGCAAGCAGGGGGAACTTGTTGTGTTGGAGCATCAGAAGAAGACAGAGGTGGGCAGGGACCATGCTGAAATTTTGTCTTTATCTGAAAAGCACCAGAAGAAGCCTCTGAAGAGTGTGAGTCAAGGAGTGACACGATCAGATTTGTATTTTTAAAGGATTATCTCATCAGTTTATGGAGAATGGATTTGATCAGGGCCTTCCTAGCTGTGGGAGGAGAGAAGTGAATAGATCTGAGAGATTCTGATGGAGACTAGATACAAAGGTGAGGGGTTGGGAGATTCCCAGATTCCAGGATTTAAGCAGTTAAGTAGTAGCAGCATTCACAGTAACAGCAATTCAAAGAAAGGACCTGGTGTAGTTGCAAAGGGCACTTTGGCCTTAGTCAGGTGCCTGAGACCTAATGTGAAGTCCAGTGCATGGCAAATATTCAAGTTTGGCACCCAGGGGAGAGGTGTGTGCTGAAGAAGTGATTAGGAGTCCTTTGCAGATGCAGGAGATGAGATGAGAGATGGGACAGAGAATGGAGGCACTACCTGCGCCTTGGAAAAGGCCAATGTAAACTTCAGAAAGCTTGGTAACCTGCCATGGACTCCAGTCTCTGTGCTTTGTGCTGGGACTTGGAACAGTCTGGCTTGCCATAACCCCTGGCTAGGTAGGGACTGACCTGTCTACCATCCTCCCCAGGGCCACCACCACCACCACTGAAGACGCGTTCTGTGCTCCGGGGTGATGATGTCCTCCTGCCCTGTGACCAGCCATCCAACCTGGCACAGGCTTTGTGGCTACTCAATGGGAGCAAGGGTCTGAGTGACGGGCAGGATGGCTACCGAATAGGCGTCGACGGGCTGCTGGTGACAGACACACAGCCTGAACACAGTGGCAAATATGGCTGCTATGCTGAAGAGAATGGTCTCCGTATCCTGCTGGCTTCTTACAGCCTCCTAGTCCGGCCAGCCACTCCTGCCCCAGCGCCACAGGCCCCTGCCACACATGGGGCACAGCTGGCACCTGATATGAGGCTGCTCTATGTGCTAGCCATTGCTGCACTTGGTGGCCTCTGCCTCATCCTAGCTTCCTCCCTTCTCTATATGGCTTGTCTGAAGGGAGGTAGACAAGGACGTCGACGAAAATACTCACTGGGTCGGGCTGGCCGGACAGGTGGCTCGGCAGTGCAGCTGCAAACAGTCTCAGGCCAGTGTCCTGGAGAGGAAGATGATGGTGACGACGGGGAGGGGCCTGGGGGCCTGGAAAGTAGCTGCCTCCAGATCATCCCTGGGGAAGGTGCCCCAGCCCCACCCCCTCCACCACCACTCCCTCCGCCAGCTGAGCTGACCAATGGACTTGTGGCACTGCCCAGCCGGCTTCGAAGGATGAATGGCAACAGCTATGTGCTCCTGAGGCAGAGCAACAATGGAGTTCCAGCAGGACCCTGCTCCTTCGCAGAAGAACTGAGCCGCATCCTGGAGAAGAGGAAGCACACGCAGCTGGTAGAGCAGCTGGATGAAAGCTCTGTCTGAGCCCAGCCTCCCTAACAAATGCTCTCCCGAGCCAGCCTGTCTGCCTGGGTCAGACTGCTGCATCCCCACCAACAGACACCCTCCTTCACATACCCCCTTCCCTGCCTTTCTCCCCACTTTTTGATGTCTCTGTAGGCTGGCTAAGTCATGGCCAGCCAAAGCCCCCTCCTCAGTCTCCAAGACCCACATGTGAGCAGCCCAGGCCCACCGGTGCTCCTCAGAGGTAGGTGCTCCCTCAGGACCAGGTGCTTTGCAAATCTAGACCTAGATTCCATCCCCTTAACCTAAATGCTTGGGAGGAGAGGAGTCCATCCTCTTGTCCCATTTTCTGCCCAACCTTCCTCTTCCTCCCAGGTAGGGCTCTGCAGGTCCAGATGGCCTCAATGTCACCACCCTCTGCATAGCCCTGTGTCCTGGATAGTCCTGAATCCAGACAAGACCTCTGCCAGCCACCTGAGCCCTGCGTACATTCACATGTGCACATGGAAGAATGTTTATCAGTTGGGCTGCAGCACCCTTCCCTTTCTGCTGTGTTCTGTTTTCATCCTTTCTGGATTTGGGGTAACCCCCAAATTGTCCAGTCCCTATTTAGTACTCTTCCTCAGTCTCAGGCCCATAGATAACATCTTTGGCAAGAGCTTGGGAACAGGCCAGCCTAGGAGGTAAGACTGCCACATTCCCCTCTTCTTCCTTCCTGTGTAGCCTTTGTGAGTCAGCCTTCCACTCCTCTTGGTCACATGGAAGACTGGCAGCAGAGCTCTAGCCATGTCCCTTCCGTATGCATGTGTGGAATGCACCCACATCACACACATGCTTACAGTCCCACCCACATGTATCTTCTGAGCTCCCCCTAGTTGCCTCAGACCTGTGTTGTCAGGTTTGGTCCATGAATATTTCAAAGGGAGAGTCTCTCCCCTCTAGCTATCCTCAGACGTTCCTTAGGATGGTGACCAACACTGCACTCAATGAGCCAGCCTCCCTTCTGGGAATAAAGTATTTCTTCCCCTAGACCAGAGCAAGGGGAGACAAGATCTGACATCTCACCTGGCAAATGAAGCCCGTTCTTGGAACTATGCAAAGGGCAGAGGCTGGGAGTTTGGATGTTTGGCTCCCACCCCTGTCCTACCTCACCGGGGCACTTTCAGGGTCCAGGGGCCTCCGAAGTCTCTAGGCTCCTATGGGACAATCAATCCTGACTGAGCTCCCCCATTTCCCTTGGGTGAGGACAGACTGTTATTTTTGTAGCTGAGAACGTGGAATCCCACGGGTTTTTACTGCCCTTTGCCCAAACCTCTCCCACCTCCACCCCACAATGAATGTATTTATTGTGAGAACGGCTACACTTCTTCAGGAATGCCCACACTCATCACTCAGGTGGGTGGAACAGGCATGTAAAAGAGTGGGGAGCCTGGGCTCAGCTCCTCCCGATGTTGGTTAATAAATGCCCTTTCCCTCCCCACAGCTCTGAGTAGTCTGCTTAATCTAGATTAGCATTCTCTGATCACCAACAACCAGGCTCTGACCCTATGGAGATAGTGCTATAGTGATTTCTGAATCCAGGGTTGGCTTTGCTCCCCAAACAACCATTTGCAGAGAAAACTGGGGTCAGCTTCTACCTTGTTTATGCTCAGTAGGCAGGCACACAGGCCCTGTTAAGGCTTACATATTCACTGATTATGGTGATAAAAATATGAGAAGAAAAGTACAGCAGTTCTAAGAATTGAAATAGAGGTTTCTGGGGCTGGGAAGGTGGCTCAGTGGTAGAGCGCATGCCTTGCATGCCAGAGGCCCTGGGTTCGATTCCTCAGCACCACATAAGCAAAAAGAAAAAAAAAAGCCGGAAATGGCGCTGTGGCTCAAATGGTAGAGCGCTAGCCTTGAGCTGAAGAGCTGAGGGACAGTGCCCAGGCCCAGAGTTCAGGCCCCATGACCGGACCCAAAAAAACAAACAAACAAATAGAGGTTTCTCTCTTCCTCACCATCCTCCACCCACTTCTGTATCAATTTTTGTATTTTGAGATGAGGATTTTGCTAGGTTGCCCAGGCTGATTTCAAACTCTTGTATTCAAGTGAGCCTCCTGCTCAGACTCCAGGGTAGTTGTGACTACAGGCATGTACCACCATGCACCCTACAAGATACTTATCAGCCCTCCTGCTTTTTCCTAAGAAAATTTTCAGCACCTCCCACCTCCTGGTCAAAGGGAGACAAAGGGTTCATTTTTGGAAAAGAGGTCTTGGGGTGAGAGTACAGTTGGGACCAGAGAAATCATGTAATCAGACACCAGGTCTAAGAATCAGGCCTGATGATTCCCTTGCTGTTGACATTGACCACATTGAAGAATTCTATGTTCTGCTTATTTTAAGACAATGAAAAGTTGGGGCCTGGTGTTGGTGGTTCATGCTTGTAAACCTAGCTACACAAGGTGGTTATCTGATGTAAAAGCCAGCCTGGGAAGGAAAGTGCATGAGACTCTTATCTCCAGTTAACTACCAGAAAAGTGGAAGGGGCACTGTGGTTCAAAGTGGCAGAGTGCTGCCTTGAGAAAAAAAAGAGCTCCCAGGCAATGTAATGAAGAAAAAAAGAAAGAAAATGGGGCTTATGCTTAAAACACGCACATGCTTTTGACGTGAAGCATGCCTTTGGATAAGTTTAATGATCTTAGTGTACTGCTAATCTGTATGCAAGCTAGAAGGTGCCTTCCCCAATGCTGAGCCACAGCAGAGTTCACTGTATGTAGGTCAACGTTTGTTAGCAACAGGACATCAGAGCAGGACAGTCTTAGGAAGCCAGTCTGAAGACCTCTGTGTTCCAAATATTATTAATTTAGATTTCAAAGAACAGAATCTTGTACATAACTTCTCATCTTGGGTTTTAAGGATATCAACAAGGTTATGTGGGCTTCAAGAATTCACAAGGTCACTGATAAATGGGTAGTTCTTTACCCCAAGCAAGATCTTTGCACTAAGCCCACTGGTGGGTTCCATTTATCTTCCTGATCTCAGAATCGGGGAGTTAGAATCACCTCTATTGGGGTGGTTCTCTCAACAGTCCAGAGGAGTTGGCGCTGGGTAACTTCACTGGGATTGAGCAGTATTCTGAAGCTTCCGGGGGCGCAGCCCGCCGAAGGTCGTCGGTTTGTTGGTGAAGGGGTGCCACTGACCCTGGATGCTAGGGTTGTCTGTGTGGAAGGGCTTGCGGATGCGGATTATGTCCAAACCCGACTGGTTCGCCAACTTCTGCACCAGCGCGGTGATCTCCTCCACCGACTTGCAGTTTAGGCTTTCCTCCCGCACGGACCCATTAACTGTAGCCATAGGGAGGTGGGAGAAAAGAGGTAGGTCCGGTGGGATCAGGTGTCAGCAGTTGGTGGGTTAAGCCCGGATCCCGCCCTCCGGCCCTAGCCCGGCCCACTCACGGTATTCGGCCACTACTCGGGGCACTTGGCACGGCCGTGGGTTCACGTAGATCACGATCCCTGGGTTCCGTCGGGCGAAGTCGGCCACCTCCTGTTCCACGAACTCCCTGAGGGACCCAGGAAGGGTGAGCAGGGTGAAGTCCGGAGCGAGGAATGCCGGGAGTGGCGTCATTCCTCCCAACCCACCTGGGCTCACCTGGCGCCGCGGGACGAGGGTGCGTCGCGGCTGAGGCTGAAGCTGAGGCGCTGCAGCTGCTGCACGTAGCGGCCAAGCCCGTTGTGGAGGACACTGGCCAAGAAACGGCTCGGGGTCCCGCGCGCAGTCATAGTTCCCGACGGGAGCCTCACCGGTAGCGGAGCCGCGGAGAGCGAAGGCGGGACGAATCCGGGACTTCCGGTTCCGGAGACATCCGCGGACGGGAGAGTTTTGCTTCCGAGGTCACAGTTGAGTGGCGCGTGCAGGTGACCCACGTTTCGGGCGGAAAGGGGGAGAGACGCGGGTGGTGGCGCGAGGCGAGGTGTGGAACCCTGGGGCCGCTTGTCGTCGAGCGGAGGGAAGACCCGGGGAGGTGTGACGGGAGTCGGGTTGTGGCTCCCTAACCACGTGGAAGGGCTCGCGGCGAGGAGAGACGACTGAGAATATGCAGATGGCCGCAGAGATGAGGGCAGCCAGGAGGGTCTGTGGAGAGGTGCGAGAGATGAGGAGATGATTCAGAGAAACCGTGGCGTCCAGGGAACTGGAGAGGGTCCTAGACGTGAGGTAGTGGCCGAATCCATTTAGGACCTGGGGAGTCGTTAGAGCGGGACATCGGTGGTGTGGATGGACAGAGACGTGAAGCAGCAATGTAGAGAGATTGAGGCGGACTCAAGTCGGGTGATGACGGGGGAGAGTTGGAGAGGTAATAGCCAGTCAGAGTGAGCGCTCTGAAATGCTAGGGTCTGAACTAATGAAAGCCACCAAAAGCAGGCTTTCGCAGTAGGGATGTGGGTCCTTTTCAGAGGTGCATCCCCCCTTCGGATTTTGCTGTCCTTGCGAGGGGAATGGATGGGTCGAAGGGGTTTGCCCCGCAGCTTGGTCCCAGGTCCTCCTCGCAGACGATACAGGAAGGAGGCTCTCCCAGCCTTGGAGGTGCCAGTGTTACCTCTAACTACAACCGAAATCCGCCAGTATTTGCGCACACATGGGATCCCCTTCCAGGATGGTCACAGCTGTCTTCGGGCACCCAGTCCCTTTGTGGAATCCTCTGAGGTCAAAGATCAGACTAATACTAATGCTTCCTTCAGCCTCTTCATTGATAAAACCACAGGACGTTTTCTCTGCATGACCAGCCTAGCAGAGGGAAGCTGGGAAGATTTCCAGGCCAGCGTGGAAGGAAGAGGGGACAAGGCCAGGGAGGGGATCCTGCTTACTGAAGGCCCAGAAGCTCAGGACAGTGAGGAGATCCAGAGGATCTGGAACAGAGCAGTACCCCTGGGGGAGCTGCCTGACCCAGAGGAGGCTCAGCTGGCTCGTGTGATGTTTGGCCTCACCAAGGTGACAGACGACACACTCAAACGTTTCAGTGTTCGATATTTGAGACCTACTCGAAGCCTGGTCTTCCCTTGGTTCTCCCCTGGGGGTTTAGGATTAAGAGGCTTGAAGCTACTAGGAGCTGAAGGCCAAGGGGATAGAGTACGATATGTGGAGACCACTATTCCCCGGCCTGGTGCCTTCCACAACCTATTTGGATTACCACTGATCAGCCGTCGAGACGTCGAGGTAGTCCTGACAAGTCGTGAACTGGACAGCTTGGCCTTGAGCCAGGCCACAGGGCTTCCTACTCTGGCCCTACCACGAGGAACAGTCTGCCTGCCCCCTGCATTACTCCCTTACCTTGAACAATTCCGACGTATTGTGTTTTGGCTCGGGGATGACCTCCGGTCCTGGGAAGCTGCCAAATTATTTGCTCGAAAACTGAACCCCAAGAGATGCTCCTTGGTGCGACCTGGGAACCAACAACCGCATCCCCTGGAGGCCCTGAACCAAGGCTTAAGTCTTTCTCGAATTCTTCGGACTGCCCTCCCTGCTTGGCACAAGTCTATTGTATCTTTCCGGCAGCTCCGAGAAGAGGTACTGGGAGAACTGTCGAATGTGGACCAAACAGCTGGCATCCGCTGGAGCCGCTTCCCAGACCTCAATCGTCTCTTGAAGGGGCATCGGAAGGGCGAGCTGACAGTCTTCACAGGTGATCCTTTGGGAAATCACTGCTTGGGGTGAAGGGTCAGGGGACCAGGAACAAAAGCATGGGTTTGGGCTTCTGAGAATGTTGAAAAGAAGACTTCCCTGACCTGCCTTGGTTCAAGGATCAGACTTTGCTCCTCACCCAGGGCTGTGTTCTTACCTCCTGCAGGGCCAACAGGCAGTGGAAAAACGACGTTCATCAGTGAGTATGCCCTGGATTTGTGTACCCAGGGGGTCAACACACTGTGGGGGAGCTTTGAGATCAGCAACGTGAGACTAGCCCGAGTCATGCTGACCCAGTTTGCTTTGGGACGCCTGGAAGAGCAACTGGACAAATATGAAGAGTGGGCTGACCGCTTTGAGGACCTGCCCCTCTATTTCATGACTTTCCACGGACAGCAGAACATCAGGTGAGATCCTCAGAGCCTAACCAACATTTAGCACCTTTGATTCCCTACCTAGTGCTGGTGGAACTCCTTCTAGGTCTCCTTTAGTAGGCTTTGAGTTTTCAAATAGATGGATTTCAAAGAATGGGAGTTCTCAAAGAATAGCAACTCACCTGGGGGCCACTTGTAATAATAGACTCTCAATTCATTGCCTCTTCCCAGGTCTGTAATAGACACAATGCAACATGCGGTCTATGTCTATGATGTTTGTCATGTGGTCATCGACAACTTGCAGTTCATGATGGGTCATGAGCAGCTGTCTACAGACAGGTAACAACTTCCTCTTGTCTAACTTGAACATACTTGTCTTATCAGGAAGCTGGCCTCTAGTCACATACACTTTATTTTCAAGGCAGGGGAATGGGAACATGATAGCAGGAATTATGGACAGAGACCTGAGTGTAAGTCTTCAGGTTTAGAGTGAGGTTGGAATAGTTTGTGGGGAAATGTAAGTTGCTCAAGAGTGTGTGCATGTTCTTGTCCTACCTGTCCAATAACCTCTTTTCATTGTTTGGGGATAGGATTGCAGCTCAAGACTACATTGTGGGGGCCTTTCGGAAATTTGCAACAGACAACAGCTGCCATGTAACGCTGGTCATTCACCCCCGGAAGGAAGATGATGACAAGGAACTACAGACAGCATCCATTTTTGGCTCAGCCAAAGTGAGTGGCTTTAAAGAGTCAGGCTGGAGAATAGAGGGGGCGGGCAGGTGTGACTGGGGACATTTCTCAGTCAATCTTTTTTTTCCCACCTGACCGTAGGTCCTGAACTCTGGGCCTGAGCACTGTCCCTCAGCTCTTCAGCTCAAGGCTAGTACTCTACCACTTGAGCCACAATGCCACTTTTTCTGCTTATGTGGTGCTGAGGAACCGAACCCAGGGGTTCATGCATACAAGGCAAGCACTCTGCCACTGAGCCACCTTCCCAGCCCCTTCTCAGTCAATCTTAAACCATCTTGACTGTCTTGAACAGGCAGGAGGCAGTGCCACTAGAGCTATGACATGAGGAATACGTGTGCCCAAAACACAAAGGTTGTTAATAGTTGGTTCTTTACCCTTCAGGATTTATGTCTTCTAGGAGAGGAACAGTGATTGCAAGTCGTTATGATGAGCCAAGAGTAGACAGCACAGGTATTTGGGGAGCAAAGAATAAACAGGTCTGAGTTAGTTTGGAACATCTGGGGAGACTTCGCAGAGGAAGTGTCAACAAAGATTACACTGAGGCCTGGAGTAGGTGTTAGCTAAATAAATAGGAGGGATTTTTAAGCTAAAGGACCAGCCCAAGCCTGAAATTTCCAATGGCACACTGGGTGCCTATTACATGCCAGGTCTGGGCTGGGCAAAGAAATTCAGGTTGAGGAGCACAAACTGTGTCATAATTAAATGGACACGAAGCTAAGAAAGAATAATGTAGAAGTGGAAAAATGGTAGTACTTTAAGACCATCAAGAATGGTCCCTAACCGGGTGCCGGTGGCTCATGCCTGTAACTCTAGCTTCTCAGGAGTCTGAGATCTGAGGATCTCGGTTCAAAGCCAGCCTGGAGAGGAAAGTCCAAGAGACTCTATCTCCAATAAACCACCAAAAAACTGGAAGTGGCACTGTGGCTCAAGTAGTAGAGTGCTCGCCTTGAGCTGAAGAGCTGAGGGGCAGCGCCCAGGCCCAGAGTTCAAGCCCCACAACCAAGAAAAAAAAAAAAAGAAAAGAAAAACAAATTAGATATGGTGGCATATGCCTGTCATCCTGTCTACTCATGATATGGTAGGTAGGAAGATCTCAGTCTAAGGCTGGCCTCAAGCAAAAGCAGAAACCCTATCTAGAAAATAAAACAGAAGCAAAAAAGGCTAGAGGTATGGCTTAAGTCGTAGAACACTTACCTAGCAAACGCTGTCCCTAAGTTCAAATTTCTATTGTCCCCAACCCGCCTTCCCCCTCCAAAAAAAGAAGGCCTTTCTAAAGCCAGTCATTGTGGCCCATACTTACAATCCCAGCTAAGCTACTTTGGAAATGGAAACAGGAGGGTCTAGAGTTTGCAGCCAACCTGGGCAAAGTTAGCAAAAATATGGTAAAAATGAAAGGGAAGCAGGTACAGTGGCTCATGCCTATAGTCGTAGTTCCTCAGGAGATTTGAGGTTAGAAACCAGCTTGGACAAAAGTTCACAAGACCTCATGTCAACCAATGAAAGTCAGATGTGGCCTCACATACTTAACATCCCAGTTATATAGGAAACAATCTAGGGTCCAGGGACTCATGTCTGTAATCCTAGCTACTCAGGAGGCTGAGATCTGAAGATTATGGTTGGAAGCCAATGATTAGAAAAGTTTGTAAGAGGGGCTGGGAAGGTGGCTCAGTGGTAGAGCACTTTACTTGCATGCTTGAGGCCCTGGGTTCGATTCCTCAGCACCACATAAGAAAAAAGCCGGAAGTGGCGCTGTGGCTCAAGTGGTAGAAGAGTGTAGCCTTGAGCTGAAGAGCTGAGGGACAGTGCCCAGGCCCAGAGTTCAGGCCCCACGACCGGACCCAAAAAAAAAAGAAAGAAAAGTTTGTGAGACTCTTACCTCCAAGTAACAAGCGGAGCCAGAATAGAGAGGTAGGTTGGTGGCTTGAGTGGTAGGGTACCATTCAGCCTTCAGCAAAAAAGGCAAGTGAGAGCATGAGGCCCTAAGTTCAAGCCCCAGTACTGGCATACAACAAAATACCAAGTTACGTAGGAAGCATAAATAGGAGAATCACAATAAGAAAAAACAATTTCAAAATAGCAAACCCATAGGGCTAAGGATGTGGCTAAGGATGTGATGAGATTTTTGTCTAACAAGTCAAGGCCCTGGATTTAATCCCTAATACAACAAAAAAGGAAAAAACAACTGAAAACAAAAGACCTGGGTTGGGAAGGTGGCTCAGTGGTAGAGCGCTTGCCTTGCATGCATGAGGCTCTGGGTTCGATTCCTTAGCACCACATAAGCAAAAAGAAAAAAGCTGGAAGTGGCGCTGTGGCTTCAGTTGTAGAGCGCTAGCCTTGAGCTGAAGAGCTGAGGGACAGCACCCAGGCCCAGAGTTCAGGCCCCACGACCAGACCCAAAAAAACCCAAAAAACAAAAGACCTCTCTTATGAAGTGTGACATTTAGATAGGCCTGTAAAGCACCTATGTTGAGTGTGGTAGCCCAGTATAGAGAAGAGATGTTGCAAGTAAAGAGCAATATAGACAAAGTCTGAAGCAGTAGCAGACTTATTGTCATGGAACTGGGAGATGAGTGGCCCTAAGAGGTTGGTGGCAGGGTAGTGCTTTCCCTCTCCCTGTTCTTGCCAGTGACGGGGTAGTGCTTTCCCTCCCCCTGTTTTTGCCACTCCCCTATGTACTCACAGCCTTCCTTTCTACGGCTTTGATCATATTGCTTCTTCCTTTTCTTCTTCCTTCTGTCCCCTTCCCCTTATCCCTTAGGCAAGCCAAGAAGCTGACAACGTTCTGATTCTGCAGGACAGGAAGCTGGTAACTGGGCCGGGTAAACGGTATCTGCAGGTATCCAAGAACCGTTTTGATGGAGATGTAGGTGTCTTCTCACTTGAATTCAACAAGAGCTCACTTACCTTCTCCGTCCCACCAAAGAGCAAGGCACGACTGAAGAAGATCAAGGATGATAATGGACTTGTGGCCAAAAAGCCCTCTTCTGGAAAAAAAGGTTCTGGGTCCCAGAACTCTGAAACTGGTTCAGTCCAGGACCCAAACTCCCACCAGCCAGATAGCTCTTAAGTTTTCAAGTTAGTGCAGAACTGCTCACTGAAATGAGCCTGATGGGACAGGCTAGGGCACAGACTTTTTGGCCCTTTACTAGAGCTCCTTTTTCATGTAGTTCTCAACTGTGGGTCCTTCTCAGTCTAGTGGAGTTCTGTAATGAGAAAATTCAATTTAGCAGCTATTTGAGGACCTACTGTGTGCCTAGCTTTGTTTGAAGTTTGGTATATCAGCACTGCAAAGACAGGTAAGGTCTGTTTCCACAGAACCCAGATCATGGTAGAAGAGACAAGTCAAAGAACAAATATAGTTTTAGTAATAAAGCCTATAAAGAAAAGTGTCAGAAGCCGGACATTGATAGCTTATGCCTGTAATCCTAGCTATTTATGTGGCTAAGATCTGAGTTCACAGCCAGCCTGGGCAGGAAAGTCCAAGAGACTCTTATCTCCAATTAAACACCAAACAATCCAGAATTGAAGGTGTGGCTTAAATAGTAGAGCACTAGCCCAGGGACAGCTTATAGGCTCTGAGTTCAAGCCCCAGGACATACACCAAAAAAGACAAGTGTTGAGTGTTGGTTATCTCATGCTACTCTGGAGGCTAAGATCAGAACAAGTTGAGTGGTAGAGTGCCAGCCATGAGTAAGCAAGAACACAAAGCACTGAGTTAAGCCCTAGAACAGGCCAAAAGTAAAACTGTAATAAGAGTGCTTACAGGCTTGTTTATATAGTCTGAAAAGGTGCTTCGGAACAGAGGGCATGTGACATGTAGGAACAAGCATGTAAGCATCTGGGGAAAGGGATCCAGGCAGAGAGCAAAGTACAGAGCCCTGAGATGGCAGGGAGCAAGGCACACTTGAAATTCCTGAACTTGGAGTTTAAATAGGGGACTTCTTGTTGAAATTCCAGGCTTTAGGCTTTTGGAGCTAAAGGGTAACATGGTGGGTGCCAAGTCTTTTCTGCTCTCCACTTTTGTAGAGCCTGCTGGCATTGGTGCTTAGCCGTGTAATACTGCTGGCCGTAGAGCCATGGAAAAGCCCAAAGGTGCCTGCCACTTGGACAGTGGTTCCATATATGCTGTCTCAAACAGCTGGAGTTGACTTTTTATAAATACAGCCATTTCTAATTTTAGTTAAAAAAAAAAAATTGCTTTGTGTGTGTGTGTTCTTTCTTATGTGTCCACCAGGTGTCTCCCCAGTCTGTAACTGGATTTCCACACCGAATTGGGAGTGGATGGGTCCCTCCCCCACTTCCAGGCCTTTGAGCCTTGAGGTATAATTTCACATCCTACCTTCCTTTCATATCTTTCCTTGCCTAGGAGAGAAGGGGGTGTGTGCTAACTGTATGTTTTTTTCTTTATACAGGGGCTGGCCTTAAACTCTAGATCCTTCTGCCTCTTCTTCCTAAATGCTACTACATGTATACCATAATGCCCTGCAAGACTCAACTTATTCTTATCTGTACTCCCATCCATTTCCCTCTAGTACCCTCTTCCACGGTTCTTTTTAATATACACCAGAACTCCTGGGGAATTGTTAAGAAAATTAATAAACCAAGCTGGTGCACATGGTTGTAGGATGAAGAGTCTGAAGCCAGCCCAGACTACTGCAAGACTTGTTTCAAAAATGAGGGGGTAAGCCGAGCCCTGGTGGCTCACGCCTGTAATCCTAGCTACTCAGGAGGCTGAGATCTGAGGTTCGCGGTTCAAAGCCAGCCCGGGCAGGAGAGACCATAAGACTCCTATCTCCAATAAACCACCAGAAAACCGGAAGTGGTGCTGTAGCGCAAGTGGTAGAGCGCTCGCCTTGAGCTGAAGAGCTGAGGGACAGCGCCCAGGCCCAGAGTTCAAGCCCCAGGATGAACAAAAAAAAGAGGGGGTGGGGAGGGCCAGAGATGTGGCTCAAATGATAGAGGATCTGCCTAGCAAGTATGAGGTCCTGACTTTGAACCCCAGTACCATCAGTAAAAAAGAAAAATACAGAGCCCAACTCCATTTCTGATCCTCTCCTGTCCTGCATATACTTCTAGTTCCAGAATTTGAGGAAGGATCTAGGAGTCTTCATTTTATTTCATTTTTTTTTATTTTATTTTTGGGTCCAGTCGTGGGGCCTGAACTCTGGGCCTGGGCGCTGTCCCTCAGCTCTTCAGCTCAAGGCTAGCATGCTACCACTTGAGCCATAGCACCACTTACGGCTTTTTTCTTTCTGCTTATATGGTGCTGAGGAATTGAACCCAGGGCCTCATGCATGCAAGGCAAGTGCTCTACCACTGAGCCACCTTCCCAGCCCGCTAAGTCTTCATTTTAATAAACGCTAGGAAGTGAAAAAAGATGACCTGCAGGGCTGGGAATGTGGCTTAGTAGTAGAGTGCTTGCCTAGCATGCATGAAGCACTGGGTTCAATTCCTCAGTATCATATACACAAGCTGGAAGTGGTGCTGTGGCTCAGGTGGCAGAGTGTTAGCCTTGAGCAAAAGAGCTCAGAGACAGTGCCCACAACCAGAGTTCAAGTCCTAGGACTGGCCAAAAAAAAAAGAAAAGACCTGCAGAGCATGTCAATTATTTTCAAATGATGACTTTGATTTCTTGTGATATTTTAGTCCCAACTTCAACATAAATGGAGAAGAGACTAGTGCTTGAAGAATCCTTTTGTTCTGGTAAAGATGAACATTTACTGCTCTCTGGAAAGGTGGAAAGGTCTGGAGTCTTTTGAAAAGTATAGCCACACATATCTTCTTAGACCTTGTAGCCAAGCTGCTGCAAAGCTGTTCTTGGGTAAGAACCTGGGGTGGGGGTAGTTCCTCCAGGGCCTGCTTTCTTGGGGGTCTCTCCCAGACTGGCTGGAGCCAGGCCTGTCTAATTCCCACAGTAATCATTGCCAGCCGTTGGCTGTTTCTAGGCCTCATCCAGCATCTGTAATGTGGAAGTCAGCCATTCCTTCCAGATGCACACCACCAGAGTAGTCTTACCTTTAAGAACATGAATTTCACATTCCTCTTAGAATGATGTGTTTTCAGAAAGCCTGTTAGGAGTTTCCAGTAGGGAGACCTGATGGGGTTCTAAATCAGAGAGAGAACCAGTCTTGCTTCTCCTTCCTGGTAGACCCTCCCCCACCTCCAATGGCATGCTTCAGAATGGTGAGGAGAAGCTAACAGCCCTGTTCCCTGCTCACTACACAAATACATTCCACTCCATACCTGCTTTAAACTCCCAGCATTAAGATTAGTCCAAAGTGTGTTCAGGAATCCCAAGAACTTAGAAGGTAGACTGGAGGAAATCCCTAGATTCTGCATAAGGACCCTGGGAGCCACTGTTGATGTACCCAGCTAATGGTTTGAAACAAGAGTATAGGATTGATAATTGTGTACAAATGATTAAGAACCTACAATCCCTAAGAATCATTAACTCCCATTTTCTGCATGGAACACAGGAAATTTTTCTTTTCTCCATTTTCCCCAACTTTAACCCTGTTATAATAAAATCCTTGGTTTAAAAAAAAAAATCTTGAGAGCTCAGGAAGGGCCTGGCCAAGCAGGGTAGGATTGCATCTGCAAGCCTGTCCTCAAGGCTGACAATGCATGTGTCATACATTGTTGTAAGGGGCAGCTTTGGTCCTCCAGAAGCTTCCTGTACATCGGATGGATTTGAGAAGACACTAAACTCACCAGTCTCCTGCAGCCCAAGGACTCAGGCTGCAAATATGGCCCACATACCTGACTTGGGCCTTCCCAAGGCTGCCTGAAGTGCCAGAGGGAGGGTGAGCCCTTGGTACCTCCTTGAAGTACAAACCAACTTCCTGTTTGTGCTTGTGGGTGGGACTTTTATGAGTCTAAAGAAGCCTAGCCATGCCCTGTGGGGGGCCAGGACTAGCAGCCAGCTCACGTGGGTGGTATACACCTACATAAGAAGGGGGGGGTCCTGGTTCTGCTTGGGCAAACTGAAGCCCAAATCTTCTTTGGGAGTTGTGGGGGTGGGGAGGGGGACTGTTTTGGTGAAATTAGAGCCCTAATTGTCTGCTCCTAGGGGTTTTCCCTGTCTTTCTTGGAGGAGAACCGGATTGGTCTCCTCGCTGCGGAGAAAAGGGTGGCGGAGTCGAGTCCTAGAGCTGCTCAGGGGAGCTGGTAGCTTAGCTTTCGGCCACGTGCCGCGCGCCCCTTCCCCTAGTCGAAAGGCAAGTCCGATGAGCTGTGAAGTCAAAGGGCAGCCTCGGTGTCGAGCTACTTTGGAGCTGGGTACTCAGCCGGCTCGGCAGCGGGAGTGTTGGGCGCAGACCACTCCCCTCCCCGGGCTGGGGGCGCGGTCTCGGCTGCCCCGCCCCGCTGCACCGAGTCGGGCCGGGCTGGCTCTGGGAGTCGGGAGCCGGGAAGCGCCGGGGCGCCCGAGTTTTCGCGGAGAGAAAGTGAGCGCGCTGGAGCGGGACCCTGGCCGGGGCGCGGCGGCATTGGGTGAGTGTGTGAGTGGGGGGCCCGACGGGAGTGCAGAAACTTGCCTTTCGGAAATCCCCGTTCCGGGCCAACTTTTCGTGTCTGGAGAAGCTGGGGGTTGGAGTGAGGAGGGAGTCCCCACTTGGTGGAGCGCAGCGGGGAGGCTGAACAGCCCAGGGACCGGAGAAACTTGTACGGCTAGACCGCCATGCACGCGTGCACTGTGCCCTCGCACGCCTTTGGGACCCACGTGCTCTAGAAAAAGACGCGCCTCGTGAGGGACCCCCACCTTCCCAGCTGCAGGGTCCCCGGCCGCGCAGCCCCCGGCGGGCTGGGCTCCAGGAGGCCACCCCGTGACTGCCGGCCGGGGCGGGCCGGGTGGGACGCGTCTCCGGTTCCTACTTCCCGGCTGCCTGCTTGCAGGTGAAGACCGAGAGGTAAACAGAGGCGCAGGGCACGTGATTGGTCTGCAGTTTGGTGAACAGTGGGATCCCAATCCCATCACAGGTCAGGGAACCCCTTTCCCAGGCCAGGACGAATGTGCTTGGTCCGGTGCAGGGCTGTATTCCATTTTAAGCCTGAAGCAGTGTTAAAACTCTCCCTGGAATGGGAACACTACGCCCCCTGGAGCCGGAGTGGCTAGAGAGGCCCAGAGACTGTTGGGCTGGGGTGAGGCTTCTTGTGCTCCTTGTCTTCCAGCTCCGAAGCCCTCTTACCTGAAGGTATTTGGAGGGAGGCCTCTGATAGTAGACAGCTGCCCCTATCCCTCGCCCCCAGCGTAGGGAGCAGCTGCCTATGAATCCCCTTCCTGCCACCAGCCACCTCCATCCCTGGCAGGACCAGGAGCTCCTCCTCCCAGTGTAGCACCAGGAACCCACCAATGTAAGAGGGGCCCTCTCCCCTCCCCAAAGGGAATACATAAGAGTAAATACTCCCCAGTAACCGAGGGGGTCAAGGAAGATTACCGCCCCCCCCATGAGGGAGCTGTAGCCCAGCTTCTCTTCTAGTCTCACCCCGCCCCCATTCCTGTCCCCTCCCCCTCCCCATGCTGAGCCCAGCTGCTGCTGGAGCTTCTGGGCAGGCTGCCAGAAAGGGGAGGAGGCTTTTGGTGCCCTAGGAGGCAGAGATCAGGGCAAGGCCAGAGATGGGGGTCTCCACTGGGAAGAGAGATTCTGTCTGCCCTTGTGAGGCTGAGGGTCTGGAATTGAGCCTGAGTGTGGCTGGGCTATGTTTCCCTTTCCAGGGAAAAAGAAAGAAAAACAACCCTTTCCATAGAGCTAAAAATAGAGCTGAGAGCCGGCCAGGCTGTGGCCTGGAAGGGGGGGGAATGCTCCTTCCTGGGGCTGAGCCCAGCTCTGGCAGGCCTTGAGCCTCAGGGGGAGGCTACTGGGGAGGGAGGCTGGCCTTGCCCAGGGGTACAGGCATTAGCTGACCTGACCAGGTCATTGAAAATCTCTCAGGGAAAATGTGATAATTTGTGAAATGTGTGTGTGTGTGAGTGTGTGTGTGTGTGTGTGGTTACCTATGAGGCAGTGTTTGAAAAGAGGGCTGAGACTTGCCTATTTAAAATGGTTTTTAAAGACCTAACAGTTGTGAAAGAGGGCACCACAGGCGTGCACCAGCGAGTGACTGTGAGATTTGGCCTAGGAGATTATGGAATGAAGGAACTTGGAATCACGTGATGGATGAGACTGATTGTGGCTGCCTTGAGACAGAATGTGGGAAAGGTCGAGTGGGTGTTAAGATTGTGCTGTTTTCGAGAGGGTTGGAATATTTGTGATTCTGGGAAAGACAATGGGATGCTGTCTGCTGTGTAGGTTTGGACCACTCACCCGAGATTGTTGGGGTGATGCTCCTCTCTGAGCACTGACCTCTCTTCTAGCAGATGACTGGGAGGTCAGGCTGGGGAGATCTGAGGCGATCCAAGGACAGGCCTGGGCTTGCGGGCTGAGGGCACCCGGCTCGGAGAGGGATGAGGGTGCCCGGAGTGGTAAAGGGGGTGTGTGGGGGGGAGCTGATGTGTGGTTCCCGGGACCGCCAGGTGGCGCCGCCTGAGCAAACCTAGAGTGCTGCCTCCAAGCCTGGGGGTGGGGCAGGCAGCTACAGCTCCTCGGCCCCGACTTGTGCGGGGTTGCGGGGCGTCGGTAGCGGAGCGGGGGGAACCGACCCTCGGCCGGTCGCCTCTCTGGACTCGGAGGCTGGAGTGGGTCTGGCCGGGGAGGCTTCGTTTAAAGAAGGGGAGGGGAGGAGCGAGCGCCGCCGCGCCTCGGCCTTTTGTGTTTCAACAATGACCAGCCGCTGCTGGCCCCTGGGCCCCAGCTCGGGCAGAGGGTGACCCGCCCTCGGAGTCCCGATCCGATCCGAGCACCCCGATACATGAGCACCGGGCCTGGCAGGGAAGGGGCCCCGGGCGCCGCCGTGCCAGCCCCCTGCGTGCGCCCCGGCCGACACGCGTGACGTGGGGTGCT